AAGCGCAATACTGGCGTCAAGATCTCATCAATTTACAGTTGAGCTAGCTAGATGAGTAGCCGTAACTTCTATGCTGACAATTTCTTATCCCGTACTTCTTGCTTCTACAACTCCTTTTCGGCTCCATGCTTTCCAGCCAACTATAATCTGGAAATTTTAAATGGAATGTCAATCGCTATCTAGTATCCTCCTGACTACTCTTTTTTTCTTTCTCTTCATTAATAATGTTTGTGTTTCTAATTCCTTCACACCCAATAACCCCTTGCATGCTCGTGGCTGTATTGCTTTGCTTGGAGTGATACCGGTAAAAAAAAAAAGATAGATTGATATTAGCCAACTAAGATAGATAGATAGATAGATAGATAGATAGATAGATAGATAGATAGATATGAACAGGCTGAGATAGATAGATAGATAGATAGATAGATAGATAGATAGATAGATAGATTAGCATACCGGTTTTCTTCACAACTTGACAAGTTATGATTGAAAACATATTAATGTCAATCGTTATCTACTGTCTTCCTTATTAATCATCTTATTGTTTTCGCTCCTTAATAATCTTTCTGTTTTCTAATTCACACCCAATAAGCCCTTTTATCTTAGTGGCTTTACTGTCTTGCATGGGGTGAATGCGATTAGAAAAAAGATTGATAGATATGGGTATATAAAACAAACTCGTATTCACATATATTGTGTTCGGACATAAGTATACTTGTGAATATATGTAGGATAGAAAATACTGTATTGGTCAACTATGACAGTGTCGTAAAGTGTATCATGTCATAGGTGCAGCGCTCACGGGCCGATTGTCGAATCCGGCTTTAATAGGCCTATCCCTCCGCCTCATGTTAAGTTAGCGTTCCGCATTAAGTGGCGGAAGACGCGGTAGAACCAGATAGACACGCGAGGGGCAGGATATAAAGTTGGCCGAGTTACACAAACCTAATTTGACGAGTTATTCCCGCAAGAAGAATGACAATAATGGGAAACTTAGAAAGAGAAAGTGAAAAAAAAGAATGAAATAGAGAAAGAAGAAGAAGAAGTTGAGAAACAGAACAAGAAGGAAGTGAAGAAGACACAAGAGAAGATTCAGAAAAGAACAGAGAAAGAAAGATGGAGGAAAGGATATGAATAATGGGAGGAGAAACTATGGAAAACAAAAGAGATAAAAGAAAAAGAAGAATAAGAAAGAAAAACAACAACAAAGAAGAAAAAGAATAGCAACAAAGAAGAAGAAAAAGAACAAAGAAGAAAAAGAAGAAGAAAGAAAAACAAAGAAGAAGAAAAAAGAAAAACAAAGAAGAAGAAAAAAAAACAAAGAAAACTAGAAAGAAAAAAAGAACAACAAAGAAGAAAAATACGACGAAACAAGAAGAAAGAAGAAAACTAGAAAGAAGAAAACTAGAAAGAAGAAGAAAGAAGAAAGAAGAAAGATCAGCAACAAAGAAGAAAACGAGGAAGAAGAAGAAAGAAGAAAAACAATAAAGAAGAAGAAGAAAAGGAAGAACAACAACAAAGAAGAAAACGGGGAAGAAAAAGAAGAATGAAAAGCAATAAAGAAGAAGAACAACAAAGAAGAAAAGGAAGGACAACAACAACAAAGAAGAAAAAACTACGACAAAGAAGAAAACGAGGAAGAAGAAGAAGAAAGAACAAGAAAGAAGAAAACAAGAAAGAAGAATAAGAAAAAGAAAACAAAGAAAAGGAGAAGCAACAGAAGGAAGAATAAAGAAGAAAAACCAAGAAAAAAAAACAAAAAAGAAAACAGACGAAGAAAGAGAACAAAGAAGAAAAAGAAGACGAAAAAGAAGACGAAGCAACAGCAACAATGATACAAATAACAATACAATATAAATGATGAAGAAATCTATATAATGTTCATAACGGGAAAATTATTATTATTATTATTATTATTATTATTATTATTTTACCGAGGACCCGAAGAAGGTATTGAAAGAGAATGTGGAAGGTGAAGCCATTTTGCCTACCTGTCAGGTAGATCGCTGAAGAGTTTTTTTTTTTTTTTAATTTTATATTAATGTCCACTGTGTAAGTGCTTGTTGGATGCCGATGTCTTTGTTACGGCGTCAATCCAATTTAAAAACTTTTCAAACAACCATTACATTGGACTTTGGGGAGACAAGGATCTGCTCTCTTTCATTTTATTAATTCGATTGCGAACACTTTTCCCGCGTTTTGCATTCAGGGGCACAAGTGTGAACAAAATGGCTGGATGCCAAATATAAGAGTGCTCTAAAAGAACGCCACTTCAAGAAGAATAAAGTCGATGTCATTGTTTTGAGAAATACTTTTTCCAAAGCGAAATTTGAAACATCTTCTATAGCCACTTTGGTTTGAAAGCGTTTACAGTGTATTTACTATCATAAAATCATCACTGTGGAGTAAAATAACTCCAAACTATCAATAAATTTCATATAACAAATGATAGTAAACATATTTTTTTTTTAATATTTCATATAACAAATAATAGTCATGCGCTTTTATTAATATTGCTGCCACACCTGGTCAGGTGCTTGTATTAGGCATTTAGAGATTTTTGATAAAATAAAAAGAATCTGCAACGCCATTGGTCCTGATATGGCATCTCGGCTACAGTCACTTTCCCACCGGCGTAATATAGATTCCTTGTGCATTTTCCTATAAATACGTTCATGGAAACTGTTCTGATGAGCCTTCCTTTATGGTACCTAGACTTTATGAATTTAAACGCGGTACTAGATTGGCGGCATCATTTTACAGTTGAAATGGCTACCGTAAGTTCTGGGCTAACAGTTCCTTCTCTCGCACTTCTCGATTGTGGAATTCTCTGCCGATTTCTTGCTTTCCATTCAACTTTGATTTTCAAAAATTTAAATGCAAATTTAATTCTTTACATTATTCGGACTGTTGTCCTCATCTTTGTCGCCATATTTATCACAACGTTTCGGCCGTTGTACGCTCCGGCTTTCTTCGGGTGGTTGAGATATACGTTTTGTTTTTCTGACATCGATGCAAACGTCTGCCTAAAAGCGAATATTTGGAATGGAGATTTCCTAGATAAGCAGTTCCTCTCTGCAGCTGAAGAATTAGCTTCAGTCTTTTTTTCCTCCTATTTTGACTTTTGCTATACTTATCTTAATACTTATCAAATAAATTAATATCATTTTCTATGATAAGAATCCCCGTTGACGTCAGATTGAAGCATTATCTTTGACAACGTAAAAAAAAAGTTAGAATGTTCCCCGGTAATTTTTATCAGATATTACTCGAGAATTAGAATATTAAAGCTTTATCAACTGGTGAGAAGTTTTTTGATTCTAAAAGCGGTATTAAAAATCGAAAACCGCGTAAAACAAGATTGCGTCTTCTCACTGGGTTTAATCAACCTGTTTTAACCTAAAAAGGGTTACTAAATGAAGAATAACCAAAACGGAGGTTGGAAATGAAATGATAAGCTTTATAACATCAACAAAATACAATACTCGCCAGCGGCGTAAAGTAGGTAAACCACTGATAGTGGTGGACTATTTAGCATATTATTCCTACTTACAATAGTGTCCAACGTATTTATGAGGATTGGGACATACATATCCATTAGTGCTCATAGGCACAGTATATAACACAAACTTTACAGCATGGCGATCTAAAGAGAACAAAAAGTCCTACCAAGATTTGTTGTAGTTGTAAACAATCTTATGGCAGATGCAGAAAGAACATTGCAAGAACTCCTAGAGAATATTGTAAAAGAAAACGGTAGCAAATGGCTAACCATCAATTCTAAGACAAGATGTATGGCTGTCAGCCAGAGAAACAGCCCACGATGCGAATTATCAATTAGACATGCCAGAATCGAGCGAGTTTAAATATCTGGGAAGTGTTTTAACAGATAACGCGAAATGGGGTACCGAAATTCGAAGACACATTTGAATAGCGAACTATACCACACAAAAGCAAAACAAAATATTAAGAAAAAAGAAAATTAAAAAAAAAAGAATTGAGTTCTGAATTGCTATTTAATGCCATCTCTTGTATATGACAATGAATGCTAAACAATTACGGCTGCTAGGAGGTCATCTCAGGTCAACTCTCTACCTGACGTCTCTGATATCACATTAAGAATAAAGTAGACCCTGGCATGTTATGAGGCGGGACACAATACTTTTGTTACTGAAGCCACAACAGCTTCTTTTGGTGTGTTTGCTACCCTACAACCTACAAGGTTCCTACATGCAATATATATTTAAATCGTCCTCATAGCATGATGTTCAAAGGACGATGTTAATCGTATACATCGAAATATTAACAAAATCAGTCCCGACTCTTGCTCGTTACTCGAACATTGATCAATTGCAAACAGTTTCATCGCCATCTTGTTTCGTGAAATTGTCTGAAGGACAAGGTTTCTGTGCAGACACAGAGATCTATTGTTTTTTAAAAGCTGTCTTCTTGATTTTAATGCAAAAGAAAGAGTAACTTAAGTAGTCCAGACGGCCAATGGATATAATGGGCGGGCGAAAATGTATTTTCATTCAGTCTAACATAATCGATGGCCTTAGATTCTAAATACAAAGTTCGCTAAAACGGATTTGACATTTACGACATGTCTACATGAAGAGATTAGTAAAAAAAAAAAAAAACAGTTCATAAGAGGCGATATGATTTATGCATTAACGATCTATATACCTTGGCATATATATATATATATATATATATATATCCTAACAAGCAATTTGTAAAATTGCTTCTGGCACCTCCAGTTAGCGTTCGATTCTCATCAAAGCTGAGGTTTTAAGAGGTAAATTTAATAGCAAGTATATCTATTAGTGATTTCTTGCCTCACTCTCTCAAGCTGTTCATTCATATATATGTGTGTGTGTGAGAGATTGAGTGGAAGAGTGCGTGAGTGAGTGAGTATGTGACTATCATTGTATCTTCTAATATTTATAGAAAGTTCTGCCTATTCATAATTATCTGCCCATATCTGTTTGTATCTATCC